CCATGTAACATGCAAGTCCAACAAAAAGCATCCAGCCAAGCACGATCATGATCAAAAGTAAAATAATTTCCAAGACACACTTGCACAATGAGAGACTTCACCAAGATCTTGACAAAAGAGTGTGTTCATGAAATATTCAGTTGATAGAGGTCTCACATGTCAGTTCCATTCCTTGGCCCCAAAGGATCCACAACTCTGTAATGGAGAAGTTGGAGTCTAGCAGGGCATTGTGACATCATTGGGTATACGGTGTAGACTCTCAACTCACCAGAGACACTGTCCCCAGACCAGTAGCAGAGCAGCAACCAAATCTCTGTGTACACATTATCATATAGCAACAGTAGGAGGTGAGGTGGCGTACCATTATTAGCCCCATTTTACCAGTAAGAAAACTAAGCTTAGAGAACCTACGTGACTTGCACTAGGGCACATTGCTGATGCTCCAATTAGGCCAAGGCTTGGGGCACAGCTACCTGTTAGGAAGTTTTGTTTTTATGATTAGAAACAGAGATTTGGAAAGGTTTATTGCCAGGTCTATGACACCTGTGAATGAAACACATTGAGTTCTAGGGAAATGTACATTTATTTCTGTTCCTACAACACCTCCATCTTGAAGGCTTTCTTAGCACTATTCGATACCCAAAATCTTCACACCTTCGGTCAGTTCCTCTTCATTGGTTTTCTTTTCTTGTCAAAAAAATCTACAAGTATCGCCATTCTTTCCTCAAAAAAATCTCCAGTTGGTGGTGTGGTTCTTTCTGATTTCTGATTTCTTTTAGATTTCTAGCCCCACCCCACTACTTAAATGCTTTCAGAAGTCATAAACATTTTTGGTTTTTTTTGTCAATTCTAACAACCACATTTTGTTCTCTTTGACCTCTGTACAATGACTGGTGGACAGCTCCCTCCCCCAGAGTTCTCCCTACAACATACACCTCCCTCTATATTATTTATGTATATCCTTTAGTTTCATTATTTTTGACTATGAAAATAGTGCTTACTGTAAAACAAGAAACCATCCAAAGACGTATAAGAAAAGCTTAGCATTCTCCCCTCAGTTCTCAACCCCATAATGTAACCAATGTTATCAGCCTGGTATGTATCCTTCAGCCAAGGATTGCTTCTTGAGTTTGCAAACATCAATACACATACAGAGGGACAAAGAGGGGCTTTCCCCCAGTATTGTTTTATTAAAGGTGATAATAATACACATGCTTCTATGCAAATTGATTTTCTCCTATAACAGTACATCATGAACATTGGAGTTAATTGATTTAAAATACCCTACGCATTCTTTTTTTGCTTTTAATAATAAGCTTTATTGAGGGACAATTTACATATGATAAAATTCACTCATTCTTAGTGTACAGTTTGATGAGTTTTGGAAAAATGTATCAATCTTGTAACCACAACCACAATCAGGATGGAAACATTTTTGATCATCTCACAATATTGCTTTATGCTCTTTAGAGGAGCCCCTCATGTCCTTGGCTCCTGGAAACTACTGATGTGCTTTTGTATTTTCTAGAATTTCATGTAAATGGGACCATAAGCTTCTTCCACTCAGTATAATATTCTTGCAGTTCATCCATGTTGTTGTACAGTAGTTTGTTCTGTTTTACTGAATAGTAGTTCATTGTATGGACATGTCAGTTTACCGGTCAAAGAATATTTACATTGTTTCCAGTTTGGAACTATGATGAAGGGGTGTTATAAATAATTGTGTAATGTGAACATAACTTTTAATTTGGCTAGGGTAGATACCCAGAACATTTGGTAAATGTCAGATGTTCTCTTTATCAGTAGTTTTCAGAAGTTTGATTTTTATGTGTCTTAGTGAAATTTTTTGCATGTTTCCTATATCTGAGGTTCAGTGAGTTTCTTGGATTTGTGAGTTTATAGTTTTCATCAAATTGGAGACAATGTTTAGCTATTATTTTTTCAATTTTTTTCTGTCTCCCCTTCTAAGAACTTCCTTGTATGTATGTTAGAACATCCCATAGCTTGCTGATGTCCTGTATATTGTCTTTTTTTCTTTATACTTTTAGATAGTTTCCATTGTTGTCTTCAAATTCACTTATCTTTTCCCCTACAGTGTCTAATCTTCTGTTAATCCCTGAAGATTAATGGGTTTTCCATCTGATGTTATATTTTTCATCTCTAGAAGCTCAATTTGTAGGTTTTTAAATTACAACTTTCATGTTTCTCTGGATTATGTTCAGGTTTTATTTACATCTCTGAGCAATTAATAAGACTTATAGTAAACATTTTAAGGACCTTGTCTGCAAATCCATCATCTTTGTAATTTCTAGGTGTTTTGATTGTTGATTTTTCTCTTTGTCATAGGTGATATTTCCCACTTCTTTAAATGTCTAATAACTTTTAAGTGGATGTTGAACATGGTGAATTTTACAATGTTGAATGCTGGATTTTTGTCATATTCCTTACAAGAGTGTTGGATTTTGTCCTAAAATGCTGTTAAGCTACTTGGGATCCATTTAATTCTTCTGAGACTTATTTTAAGCTTTGTTATGGTAGGCCTAGAGAAGTAGTATTATTGGGTTAATCACCTCCACTAATGGGCTATGACCCTCTGAACACTTTCTCTAATGTCTATTATAATAGATATTCCAATCTGGGGAATATCCCAGGGCTACAGGAGCTTGAACAAGTATATGGTCTACTACCTTGGACAGTTCTTTCCCAGGCATCATGGAGTTTTATCCCATGTATTTACAAATGGAACACAGTAAAAGACTCCTGAGAACCCTAGGAAGATCTGAGTTCTTTCTCTGTGAAGCTTCCTCTTCTTAGTTCTTTCTCTGTAAAGTTCTTCCCTCTGAAGCAAATTCCTGGCACTCTGGCTTCCTTCGTACTGTACTATCTTTCTCTTCAACTCAGCAGGACTCTCAGTTTGGATGACCCTTCTCTGTGATGTAGTCTGAAAACTTCCTCCAAGCTGGGACAAATCTAGGACTCATTTAATCTGTTTCTTTTCTCCCAACATTCACAACTCTCTCTCTCTCTCTCTTTTGCATTCCTGGGGTTTGAACTAAGGGCCTAACACCTTGAGCCACACTACCAGCCCCACTCTTTTCTTTTTTTTTTTTTTTGAGCTAGGGTCTCTCAAACTATTTGCACGGGGCTGACCTTGAACTGTGATCCTCCTGATCTCTGGCTCCTGAGTAGCTAGGATTACAGGCATAAGCCATCTGTGCCCAGCTGTTCACAATTCTTATGCTGCCTGTTGTACAACATCTGAAAACAATTACTTCATATACTTTGTGCTATTTTCTGTTTGCTCATGGAGATAAGGTACTTTCTATAAAAGTTCATTCTTCACCAGCAGAAGCTGAAGTCTAATTTATTCTTTTTAAATTCCTGCATAATATTCTATAGTTTATTTCATCTTTTCCTAATGAATTAGTCAAGGTCCTGTCAACAGACAGAAAGTACCTAGTAATTTGGACTGGGAAAGTTTAAAAAAGTTATTAACTAGGAGCAAGAGGAAGGGGTAGAAAGCATTACATATTGGAGGAATAGCATACAGACAGCAGGACCTCATGCATGCTAGGCAGGTGCTCTGCTACTTTAGCCACTCACCAGTCCTAATTAATATATTTATTTTGATCTCCCTCTTTTAATAAAAGAATGACAGTAAGGACAACAGCAGTTATTTTTGTCCATTTTGTACACTATTGTGTCATCAGACCTAGAAAAACAGCTAGCAAATAGTAGATGCTAAACAATTTTCTTTAATGAATAAATGCTCCTTCTAGAATTTTTTCTTCCAATTGAGTCACAGCATCCCTGCCTTTTCTTTGTTTTATAAATACAATCACCCTCTTGACTGACCAACCGCTTGACAATTATATCCAGCTCTTGCAATTTTTTAGTCCCAGTGCCTCAACCCAGGGAAACAGAGCAGGCAAGTAGCTCTACAAGCGAAGGAGACCAAACAACAGCCAGTTGTATCCGCCATCTCTTGTTCACCTTCCTTCTCCAGATGACCTTATCCACAAATCTTCTTCCTCTATAATTTCCAAAACTTTCCCCTGAAAGTCTGTTTTGTTTTCTCTCTCACTAACAAAGTGAGAGAGAAAACTTTGTCACTAACAAAGATATTTATTTATTTTTGGTGATACTGGGGTTTGAACTCAAAGTCTAGCACTTACTAGGCAGGCAATATACCACTTCAGCTACATTCTCAGTCCTTTTTTGCTTCTGCTTCCATAGGAGCTGGAATTACAGACATGAGCCAATGCACCAGCCCAATCAACCACCAACAGTGTTATGAGGACCCGCCTTAAAAAAAAAAAAAGGCCTCCTCTTCCATTGGCATCACCTTCATACTATGGTCTTTCCCTGTTATCTGACAACGCTCCTCCTGATTTAGCAGGAAGGAGGGCCAGAAAAGAAACAGACAGGCCTGTGTTCTGATAAAGTAGCAGGGGGGAAGGGATGGGACAGCAGTGAAATAAAACTTAAAAATCTAAAATGTGAAGGTCACGTAGTACTGGGGGTGAAGTAGCCAATACAGTTACATGTAACCACATATGAATTAAACCTTGCCTTTTTCTTCTGTAACCTGCTTGCAAGGATATATAAGGTGAGACTCCTTTGTTCTAGGATCTCAGCCTTACAAGCCGGCACAATAAAGTGTTGCTTCCTCGAGTCCCGTTGGAGTTTCCTATAACAATGACTCTGTTTTCCATTTTGACACCTTGAAATTTTGCCTTTGAACTGCCATTACCTCCTCCCCAAAGCCAACTACAATTTTTCGGTCTTTATCTATCCCCATACTCTGCTCCTCGGAGGTCCTTCCTATCTCTGCCTTCATAGCCGTCTGGGTTTGTGGTTGGTGGATCTCCAGCACCCACGCTGCAGCCGCTGCCATAGCGAGTTCTCGCGAGAGGCGTGGCCTGCCTGTGGGCGGGGCTCCAGTTCCGGCTGGAATTTCAGGACTGGAAGGGGCGGGGCTTTAAGGCGCAGGTAGTTTGGTCCTTCGCGGTGTCCGTCCCGGAGCGCGTACCGAAGAAGGTTCAGGGGCTGGGTCGGGGCAACTGGCTCAGGAACTTGGCTGGAGATGGAGTTCGACTGTGAGGATGTGAGACGGCTGCTTGGCAAGGTGGGGTCAGGGGTCAAGGGTCGGGAGGGAGGGGTGTGTCACCGCTTGGAGTGGTGGCCGGTTGATCCGAAGCCCGCGGAGCGGCGGCCCAGGGAGGCCGAGGGTTCGGAGGCCACCTCCCCTCTCCGCCCGCAGAAGCCGGGCGCGGGCTCAGCCCGCGGCTCCCACGTCCCGGATGCCACCTCTGCCCTGGTCTTAGACAACCCTCCGCACCTGCTGACCCTGTGACCACACCTCTCTCTTTTGAGAAGATTGCTTTGCCTCATTCCTTGGAAGACCCGACTCTGAGACTCCTTGGAGGAGTGAATGACTCTCTTTAGAGATAATCGGTGTCACAGTTTTTACCAACTTTACTCCGAATGCGAAATCTTTTGGCGGTGCTGGTGTTTGAACTCGGGGCCTGGCGCTTGCTAGGCCGGCGCTGTACCCCTGACCCCACGCCCCAGTCCGCCTGTGAGTGCTTTTGGTGGTAGAGAATGTGCACTTGCTTTTGCATTCCCTTCTAGCATTGTGCCCGACCACGTGGTACTAAGGAAGCCAGAGCCTCTCAATGTTGAAAAGTTGAAGAATGAGAGGACTGACCCAGAAGGCTGACCTACATTTCTGGGGCCCCACTCGTGTGTTTCCAAGGTCAGAAGACAGAACGCACCTGCAACGGAACACCCAGTCCAGAATCCCTGATCCCCACCAGTGTGCAGTCTGCAGAAATCCTCCTTTTCATGAGTTTCCTCCTTAAGTGATTTTTTTTTTGGTGGAAATGGGATTCAAACTCAGGGCCTCACAACTTGCAAAGCAGGCGCTTTAAGCCATACCTCCAGTCCATTTTTACTCTGGTTATTTTGGAGGTGAGGGTCTGCAGAACTACTTGCCTATGCTGGCCGCGAACCGTTATTCTCCCGGTCTTAGCTTCCCAAGTAGCTAGCGTTACAGGCATGAACCTCAGGCGGCTTCCTTAAGTGATTCTTAATGTTTCTTAAGATTTCCCTGTGCGGAAACCATGCATTTATGCTATCTTTGTTGGACATCTCTGTCTCTTTGTTGGGACAGTTTTTACACCTGTGGGAGGTTTGAAAGCCCCCCAAATTAAAATTGTTTCTGTAGTTGATTGCAATAATTTTATCTATGGTGACAGGTGTAGATCTTGCAGGAAGAGAAGTATTATGCTCGGGATTACTAACCTTCTTCTCTTCAAAGAAGATGAAATTAAAGGACCCAGTCTGTCAAGTTTTACTGTGGGGCACATGATGGTTGTCCAGTTGAAAGATTCCTTAAAGCTTAAGTGGAACTGGAGTGAAGGGAAATAGAATAGAGGAATTTCAGTGAGTAGCATGGAGTCTGGCCCTTAGGTAGATTTTTAGGTGGTTGTTTTTTGCTGCTAGAAGTGAACTCAGGGCCTTCTAAGCACGTTTTGTACCACTGAGCTACATCCCCAGACTCCTACAGGTTCTTAGTATAAATTTGTATAAATTAAGGAAACCAATCAGTATAGCAAATATTTCTGAGATTCCTAGCCTCTGCACTAGGCAAATAATACAATAACTTAATATCTAGAAATTTTAGTGTAGAAAAATCTGTGGACAGAACATGAAAAACCAAGCGACTCGAGTGGACGTGTGGCTCAAGTGGTAGAGCGCTTCCCTAGCAAGTGCAAGACCTGAGTTCAAACCCAAGTATTGCCTAAAAGGAGGAAAAAAACCCAGCAAAAACCAAGCAACTGTATGGAAACTGAAGAATCCTAAGAAACACAAATAAAAGAAAACCTAAATGGATAGGTATCCCAACTTCATGTGAAAGTTCTCCCCAAATCGATATATAGAGTCAATGCAATTCTAGTAAAAATTCTAATTGGTTATTTGGGAACTTTTTAAGTTGATTCTGCAGAAGACTAAGAATAATCTTGATATTCTTACAGAAGAAAAATAGGTACAGGGACTTGTTCTACCAAATGTCAGTACTATAGTAATTAAGATTCAGTGTCTTTAGGTAAGACACCTAAAAAATTAGCTAGCATTTGTTGCCCTCAACAGAGAAACTAAAGCAGATATCTTAAAAGCAACTGAGGCCAATAGGAAAAGGGGAACAGGTACTAGAGAAAAGGTGAGATCAAAAAGAATTAACCTAGAAGGTAATACCCACGCACAGGAAATCAATGTGAGTCAATGCCCTGTATAGCTATCCTTATCTCAACCAGCAAAAACCCTTGTTCCTTCCTATTATTGCTTATACTCTCTCTACAACAGAATTAGAAATAAGGGCAAAATAGTTTCTGCTGGGTATTGGGGGGGGGAGGGAGGGGGCAGAGTGGGTGGTAAGGGAGGGGGTAGGGGCAGGGAGGAGAAATGAACCAAGCCTTGTATGCACATATGAATAATAAAAGAAAAAGGGAAAAAAAAAAGATTCAGTGTCTTAAGCCAGGCTTTGGTGGCTCATACTTGTAATTATGGCTCCTTAGGAGGCTGAGATTGGAAGGATTGAGTTTTGAGGCCAGCCAGGCAAATAGTTCGAGAGAGCCCCATCTCCAAAATAACCTGAGTAAAATGGACTGGAGGTGTGACTCATGTGGTAGAGCACCTGCTTTACAAGGGCAAAGCAATGAGTTCAAGACCCATTCCCCTTCCCCACAAAGACAAAAGATTTACTGTCTAAATATCTATACTTGGCATAGGACTGATATACTAACCCATGAAACAGACTAAAAGGCTTAAAATCATATTCACATATTTGAAATACAGAGTAAGAGGCATGACATAACTGAAGGAAGGAGAATTCAGAGTCAAATGATTATATGGGGAAAAAAATGAAATTGTGTCCTTACCAAACAAAATTTCCCAGTGGATTATAGACCTAAATGCAAAAGACAACTGTAAAACCTGAGAGATTTGTTCTAAACTAAGACTGATTAAAAAAAAGAAGAAAAGAAAAACCTGTAATCCTAGCTAATTAGGAGGCAGAGATCTAGAGGACTGCAGGTCAAAGCCTGTCCCAGGCAAATAGTTCTGGAGATCCTATCTCGAAAATACCCAACACAAAACAGGGCTGGTGTAATGGCTCAAGTGGTAGAGTGCCTGTTAGCAAGTGTGAGGTCCTGAGTTCAAACCTCAGTACCACACACATATATACACACACGCACAAAATAAACAAAACCTACAGAGATAAATGTAGGAAAGAATCTTTATGGACTCAGACTACGCAAACATTTTTAAACGACGCAAATGGAGAGCTGACTAATTTGACTATATTAAAATTAAGAACTTTTACATAAGACACTGTGAAGAGAGTGTAGAGGAAATATACAAACTTAGACAAAATATCTGCAACATCATAACTGACAAAAAATCAGTATTAAAACCAGTAAATAGAACATTGGGCAAAATGTAAGCATTAAAAAAAAGGAAACAAAATTTGCTTAATTCATTTGTAATCCTAGAGAGAAAATTAAGACCATAGTAAACACCATTTTCATCTCATTAGATTGACATAATTTCAAATGATTTGAAATTCATGGGAATTTTAAACAGTGCTTGTGGCTAGAGGGTCATTTATTCATTTTTGGGAAAGTTTGACTTTATTTCATCAATTTATGTCCTCCCTTCTACATCTAGAGATAGATGTAGAGAATTCATAGTAGGAGACGTGCAAGAATGTTTTATTTTTATTTATTTATTTTTGAGACAGAGTCTTACTATGTAGCCAAGGCTGGTTTCAAACTTGTGGTCCCTCTGCCTCTGCTTCCCACGTGCTTGGATTATATGCATGTACCATCAAACCCTCATGCTAGAATGTTTATTGTAGAATTATAACTAAAAATTAGAAACAACCCAAATGTTGATAGGAGACAGAATAATTTGTTGTATTCACACAATAGAAAACACTTATATTGTAGTGAAAAATGAATGAACCTTACATGTACTGATTCATCTATAGCATGCATATATAGCGTGCATCAATAAAATGAATCTTAGAAACTGAAAAAATTGGAGGTTATATACAAAATTATATTTTGATAAACAAGGAAAACTTAAACAACATATAAACAGTATGTTGTTTAGGAATACACATACACACATACATGATAAAACTTTGGAGGGAAAAAGTAAAGGAATGGATAACACAATTCAGAGGAGGCAGCTTAACAGGAGACCATAGGAGTCCTCAGGGAGATGTTACTGGAAAAATTCTAGATCTGTGCTGCCAGTATGGCCACATGTGGCTATTTAACCAAACCTAGATTAAATTTAAAGTTGAGAGTCTTGCCAGACACTGGTGGCTCACGTCTATAATCCTAGCTATTTATTTGGGAGACTGAGATTGGAAGGATCATGGTTCCAGGCCTCAGGCAAACTGTTCATGAGACCCCCCATCTCCAAAATAACCATAGCAAAAATGGAATGGAGGCATGGTTCAAACTCTAGAGTGCCTACTTTCCAAACACAAAGCCCTGAGTTCAAACCTAAGCCCCACCAGAAAAAAAAAAAAAACACTCAATATTCTCAGTCCTGCTAGCCACAACTGAATTCTTAATAGCTGCATGTATTTGTGGCTATTGTATTGGATAGTGTACATGTAGATAATTCATATCATGGCAGAAAGCTTTGTTAGATAGTGCTGTTTTTTATTTAGTTTAAGTGGATAAGTTGGTTTACCAGTGTTTATTATTATTCAAAATTATAATGATTGCATATAATATATATAAATCATTATCAAATAACCTAGATTTGCTCACTCATAAAAATGATAAGATTGGACTTGATCTAAAACACTACTTCCTGCTAAAATTTTATTTTATGAAATGATGCTACAAAGCATTTCTCAGTGTGTCCTACATTTGAGCAGTGTCATAGGAGAGTAACCTTGATGATCATACACATCAGTCTCTTGAGTAAATATATTGTAGCACAGTAAAGTTAAAATTTTATTAAACTTCTCAGCCAGGCACCTGTGGCCTATGCCTGTAATCCTAGCTAGTCAGGAAGCAGAGATCAGGAGGATCATGGTTTGAAGCCAGCCCAGGCAAAAGATTTTGAGACCCTATCTAGAAAAAAAATCCAACACAAAAAAGGGCTGGTGGAGTGGCTTAAGGTGTAGGCCCTGAGTTGAAGCTCCAGCACCGCAAAGCAAAACAAAACAAAACTTCTCAGTTTTCCATTCTTACTGGTTTCCCCTGATTCTGAGGATTGAACCCTAGGCCTCATGCATGCTGTACCACTGAACTGCTCCCCTGCCCCTTTACTGATTTTTTTAAACAACAGTATAATTGCTTCAGTTTTAGAATCTCAGGCCAGTTTTCCTCCTTAACCAGGTCAAGGGTACCTTAGCCAGGTACCCTTTAGGTACATGACACTGTCTCAGGCACATCTCCTAAGATAATGTTACTGAAGAATTCTTGGTGTTGGAAGACCGTGGAGAATGGTGTCTATCTATGTCTTACTATCACACTAAGAAGATACTGTTTCATATATAATGAAAATAATAAAATTTTTACTACAACAGATAAAAATAGGTCTTTTTAAATGTGTTACAAACCAAATATTTGTAACATTTGGGTTTTCAAGCCCTAAGAAACTGGTTTTGCTGTCTTCTGACAAACTTTTAAAGCAGTTTTACAATTAAGTCAATTTTAATATAGCCCTTTGCAGCTCAATAACATTCTCTGGGGATGTTAAGCACATAGTATATAGCTTATAATTGGGGGGAAAAAAAGAAAAAATTTGTTTTGTTAATATGTATCTTCCAGGTGACAACAGTGCAGCCTTTAGTACATTTTTGTAGCATTTGGAGTTGGGATGACTTCATTCAATTTTGTTTAAACTGAATCACAGACAATGAATCTGAAACTCATCCATTAGTTTGCTGTATTTAATAGTGATCAATTCTTAATTTTGATGCTCAGTGTTATGGACCATAATTGCTTTCTGTATCTACTCTATTCATATACATATGTCTGCTTGCTAACTCCCACCCAAAGGACATACTTCAGCAAAGGCGTAACTTTTGCTAAGTGCTGTAGTGGGATACACTGATGAGTAAAAGATGATTCCGATCCTCAGGTTGTTTATAATCTCAGGCTTTTTCTTCTGTCAGATTCTTCATCATAGAATGACAGTCCCTCTTCCCTCTAATTTTCTACATCATTCTATACTCTTTGCTGAATTGTAGACTTAGCTTCTTCAGAAAGCCTTTCTGTAATTCAGATATGCTTTATGTCCATTCATCATTTCCTGCCTGTTCTTCATATTCTATACATATTCTGCTTTTTTAAAATACCTTTTTACATATGTTAATCATGAGATCCTCATACATAACCTGTTGTAGGCAGTTGAGCTATATCTTCCCCACCCCCAGAGGAAAAATTTAAGGCTCAGAAAGCAATAAAATGACCTATTGGCAGTCAACCCCATTTTTTCCCAATCTCCCCAAATTCTAGATACCCACTAACCTACTTTCTGTGGATATGCCTGTTCTGAATATTTCATATATATGGAATCATATAGTGTTTGACCTTTTGTGTCCCTTAGCATAGTATTTTCAAAGTTCATTTACACTATAGCATGGATTAGTACTTTGTTCCTTTAAATGGCTGAATATCCTACCTTATGGCTATGACACATCTTAGTAGGGTAAATTCATCAAATGATGGACATTTGGATTATGATTGGCTGTCATGAATAATGCTGCTGTGAGCAGTTATATAAATAAAAGGTTCTACATGGATGTATGATTTCATTTTTCTTGGGTATATACCTAGGAATGGAATTGCTGGGTCTTTTGGTAACTCTGTTTAATCTTTTAAAGAACTCCGCTGGGCGCTGATGGCCTGTAATGCTAGCTGCTCAGGAAGCAGAGATCAGGATGATCACAGTTCGATATCAGCCCCTGGCAAATAGTTCGTGAGACCCTATCTTGGAAGAGAGTCAACACAAGAAACAGGGCTGGTGGAGTGTCTCAAGTGGTAGAGCACCTGTGCAGCAAGCCTCGCAAGTGCAAGGCCCTGAGTTCAAACTGCATAAAACAAACAAAAGAATGGCAAGACTTTTCCAAAGCAGCAGCACCATTTTACCACTAGCAGTGGTATTATATGCATATAGGGGTTCTGATTTTTCCATATCTCATTTTGATTATGACCTGTCTTCTGTGAATCCTCCAACCTTTTTGTTCTTTTTCAAGATTGCTTTGGCTTTTCTGGGTCCTTTAAATTTCCATATGAATTTCAGAATCAGTTTGCAGTTTTTCTGGAGGAGGGTGTTGGTACTAGGGTTTGAACCCTGGGCATTGTGCATGCTAGGCAAGCACTCTAGCACTGGGCTACATCCCCAGCCCAATTTGCAAATTTTTATTTTAAAAAGCCAACTGAGGTTTTGATAGGGATTGTGTTGAATCTTTTGGGGAATATTGGCATCTTGACAAAATTCAGGTCTAAGATGTCTTTCTATTTATTTAGGGCTATTTTTTTTCTAGTTTTCAGTCTCAGTTTTGTACCCTGCAGTTGAATTTATTTCTAAGTATTTTATTCTGTTTCCAGAATATTAATAGACTTTATTTTTTCCTTTCATTAATCCTCATCACAAGTCTATAGCGTGGGTATTACTTCTCTTTGCAAATAAGTTCAAAGAACCATGGTAGTATTTCTGGGAGAACATATGGATGAATGCTCCTTATACAAACTGTATGTTTTTGTTTTCCCTTTGAAACCCAGGATGCAAGACCAGAAGGTTGGGTTGGAAAAGTCAAGGTGCCTCAAGTGAATGAGACATTCAGAAAAAATAATTGGATTTTGAATAGTGGTGAGAGTAGTGATACATCCTGTCCTGTCTCTTAAGCCTTCAGGCAGTTTGATTTAGCAGTTAAAGGCCAGGTCCTGAATTTGAGCTCAGGCTTAACTACTTTACTTGCTCTTGACTCAGCAAATTACATGGATTCTTGATTTCATTTTCTTCTTCTGTAAAACAGAGCAGCTGTAAGCCCTACTTATCTGTTAGGGTCAGAGTTTAAAAGATTTTGCTGGGGTGCCAGTGGCTTCTGACTATAATCCTAGCTACTCAGGAGTAGAGATCGGGAGGATCACAGTTCAAAGCCAGCCGGGGCAAGTAGTTTGTGCGATCCTATCTCGAAAAACTCTTCACAAAAAAGACTGGTGGAGTGGCTCCAGGTGTAAGCCTTGAGTTCAAACTCTAGTACCACAGGGGGAAAAAAAAGATTAAATCAAATACTCTTCATGCTTATAAAGTTCTAGGGTCTACTACACAGTAAATGTTTAGTAAATGTTACTGTAATTGTTTTGTTGTTTATAGCTTTGGTTTTATCCCTTGCTCTTTTTTCTTTTTTCAGTACAAGTTCAGGGATCTAACTGTGGAAGAACTGAAGAATGTAAATATGTTTTTCCCACATTTCAGATACTCCATGGACACCTATGGTAAGAATAATAACATCTAATCTTTGCTGCATTATTTGAGTCATTAATTATTTGGCCATAGAAAGCTACGAAAACATTGTTTCTCATTTCTCTTTTATCTCTGATGTTTAAAAACATCAGACTTTTGGTTTATGAAGAAATTTAAGTTAATACAGTGCAGTATATTTTATGTTAGCTTTTTATTGCTATTGGAACAAATTACATAAATTTAGTGGTTTAAAAAACATAAATTTGCTATCTTACAGTTCTGTAGTCTAAAAGTCTAGCACAAGTTGTGAAAGCTTAGATGTTTGAGCTAAAAATCAAGCTGTCAGCAGGTCTTTGTTCCTTACTGGAGGCTCTTGGGGAGAATCTTTTTCCTTGCCTTTTTAATTTCTGGAGGTCTTCCACAATTCCTTGACTCTTGGTCTCCTTTCTTCATTTTTAAAACCAGCAGCTTTGCACACCTGTAACCATTATTCTGTATTCAAATCTCCCTCTACTACAGATGGGAAAGTTCTCTGCTTATAAGGACCTGTGTGATTAGATTAGACCTACCCCAAGAATACTGGGTAATTTTCCCATCTCAAGAGTCCTTATTTGAATCACATCTGAAAAGTCCCTTTGCCAAGTCAGATAATATATTCACAGATCTCAAGCATTGGGATATGGGCATCTTGGAGGGCCCTTATTCTGCCTACTACCTGATTCTAAATATGATAACTATTATTATTTGCTGTGCTGGGCTTGAACTCAGGGCCTTCACCTTGAGCCACTCCACCAGCCCTATTAATAATAAATAGGCCCTATTTTTTTGAAGGGTTTTTTGAGATAGGGTCTCACAGAACTATTTGCTCCAGCTGGCTTCAAACTGCGATCCTCCTGATCTCTGCCTCTTGAGTAGCTAGGGTTATAGGCGTGAGCTACTGACACCTGTTAAAAATTCTAAATTACTAATAACAAAATTAATTCACTTAATAGAGAGGATCTGGATTATCTAAGATTTTACTTTGTTATCTTTCAAAAAAACTTTTTTACCACAACCCACTGTTCAAAGCAATATTTTACATCATAATCTTATAAACACATAACTAAAACACTTGTCAATTCTGGTATTTTCTTTGTTGTTTCATCTCATTTAAAAATAAACTGGTTTAAGACTTCCTAAATTGATTTCAAGACCCACAAAGAAGTCAAGATGCAGTTTGGAAAAACTTCTTTTTTCTACCTAAATATGTTTTTTTTGTTTGTTTTTTAAATTTTTTATTTTGGAGGTGTTGAGAGTAACTTGGCAAGGCTCTGGAGTGGGACTGAGCTAGGGCACCAGGAAAGGAACCTTGGAGAGTTGCAGAGCTTTGCATGTCTGCGGTTGTCATGAAGACTTTGAGGACACAGGACTCAACAGAATAAGAACCCTTTTCCTCTCTCCTTCTGAGATTTTACTTGGCTAAGTAGTGAGTGCAGCTTTCCCATCTGTCCATGTGGAGCAACCAGACTTTGGAGGCACCCCCCCCCCAATTCCAGCAGCCTCCAACAGGCTGCCCATCCCCCTTGCAGAAGGTACAGTTCAGAGATGGGAGCCAGCCCTCTGTATATACTTTTTGCAGAGTATGTCCTAGTTTAGTTGAAATCTTTGGCCTGCACACTGGCAGGGCTCTGTTACAGTTGTTTTTGACTGGATTGGAAGGGGTGACCTGCTTCAAAAACTCGGGCCTGAGGCTTCCACGTCTACCGTGAATAAATAGGGCTGGGCTCTTGAGAGTCCTCCAGCAATAGCGTGGCCTTCTATCCAGCATCAGAACCTCAGCTTCTGATAGACACCCCCGATCTATAGAAGTATGTTTTAAGTTTGAATTAGTTTGAGTTAAGGAATTGTATCTAATTCACATTTATGTATTAAACATCCTGAGGAGTTACTGAGAAATAGCCAATTGTATATGGGGAAGAAATTAATTAGATTCTGATTTATTTGTGTCTGCCACCCTCCCTTTTTTGTTGGGGATAGAATCCAGGCCCTTATGCATGCTGGCAAGTGGTCTACCACTGAGTTAAATTCACAGGCCCTGACCTGTCTTGATTAGTACTTGTTTATTTTGTGCTGCAAAAATGCTTAGAATGAAGTATATGATAGCTGGTATTTATTGAATGTTAGATATGCTCCCAAATGTTTCATCTACATTATCTTACATTTTTGTTACAACTAAAGTTGTGAGATATTATCATCTTCATTTTTCAGATAAACTGAGGCTCAGATATTTTCAATAACTCACTAAAGATTACACAGCAGCTGAGCATGGTATTACATGCCTGTAATCCCAGCATTTGGGAGACAGGCAGTATTATCATTAGTTTGAGGACAGCGTGGACTTCATATGAGTTCCAGGCCAACCTGGGCTATCTAGTGAATCTGATATGCAGATGTTTTCAGATGTTGGGGTGCTTAGTCCACTGTGAGATTGAAAGCAGAGGTGGATTCCAGTAGCAGAGAGGTCAGTAAGATTTTATTTGTAGAGAAGAAAAGAGAAAGACTGCATGGGGGTATGCAGTGGGACCCAGAAAACCAGTGGTCCCCTGGGTCAAGTTGGGTTTTAAAGCCTTTTTTTGTATTGCCTGAGGGCGGAGATGTCTCTCAGGTGCAAACAGATGTTTCCTGGGAAGAAGTGTCTCCTTGGCTATTTATCACCTTTTGGGACCTCCTGCAGTCTGCCCTTCAAGTCCCCCCTTCTCAATGATTGCACTAACTGCTGTTAGGGATAGGGACAATGAAGTCTATTCAGTGACTGCTTCCTGCTGACAGGGGGCGATGAAGGGGCCCGCAGCATCAGGTTTGACCACGAGAGGGATTTAGGGATCATAGGTGATCATAGGTCATTTCCATCTCTATCAGGGGTATCTGTAGTTTGATGGATTCTAGGCAAGAGGAAACAATCTTGACAAGTAAGTTTAAAATGCAAGGCCCAAACCCAAGTAAGAGAATAATGGCAACTATAGGCCCCAGAAAGGGTAGGAACCATGTCCTGGAGGGGAGCCAGGATTTTATTTGGTCCTCTACCTGTGTGGATATTTGAGTTTTGAGGGACTGTTTTCAGAGCCACTTAACCTGTTGGAGAATGTAGTCTGCACGTTTCTCTACAATGCCTGAAGTGTTTATATATGTGCAACAGGAAGTATTGGCGATGGCACATACCCCTCCTTGTTTAGCCAAAAGAAAATCTAGGGCTAGGCAGTTGTCCATGACCATACAGGCAAGGGATGGCAAAGACCTTGGCAAGGTCTTCCTGGTGTGAGGTGCCCTGTACTACTTTGGTCAAGTTTTTTGCAGTTACATGACTGGCAATCACCCACAGCTTATTCCAGCTAGTGCTGCAATCAATGCTTTTATCCCTAAAACTATTAGAGTAACCTCTCTTTTGAGTTTAAAATTTCCCCTAGATCACATGATAAAAGCGAGAGCACACAAGGGAGGGGTGAGGATAGGTAAGACACCTAAAAAATTAGCTAGCATTTGTTGCCCTTAACGCAGAGAAACTAAAGCAGATACCTTAAAAGCAACTGAGGCCAATAGGAAAAGGGGACCAGGTACTAGAGAAAAGGTTAGATCAAAAAGAATTAACCTAGAAGGTAACACCCACGCACAGGAAATCAATGTGAGTCAACTCTCTGTATAGCTATCCTTATCTCAACCAGCAAAAACCCTTGTTCCTTCCTATTATTGCTTATACTCTCTCTACAACAAAATTAGAGATAAGGGCAAAATAGTTTCTGCTGGGTATTGAGGGGGGTGAGCGGGAGGGGGTGGAGTGGGTGGTAAGGGAGGGGGTGGGGGCAGGGGGGAGAAATGAACCAAGCCTTGTATGTACATATGAATAATAAAAGAAAAATGAAAAAAAATACATTTAAAAAATAAAACAATAAAATAAAAATTGGAAAAAAAATAAATAAAAAAATAAAATTAAATGTAAAAAAATAAATAAATAAATAAAATTTCCCCTAGATCATGTGGGGTGTAAACCATTAGGGGCTGGTTTAGGACCAGTTTTTGAGCTTCAGGCACTAGAAGGCTAACTGTAGTAACTGCTTAAAGACATCCTGGCCATCCCTTGGCTACCTGATACAATTCTTTACTTAAGTAGCCCTCTGACTGGGGAGTGATGCTCTGAAGCTGAGTCACCACTCCCAGGGCAAATCCTCCCTTTTCATAGACATATAATTGAAACTTGTCTTGTACTGGGAAACCCAGGATGGGAGCTGTCATAAGGGCCTTTCTTAACTGGTGGAATGCATTTTTTGACTTGTCATCCCATTTAATAAAAGGCTGGGGATCCTTCTGTGCTTCCTTAAGGATCTGATATAAGAGTTTGGCTAGGTCTGCATATCCTGGGATCCAAATTCTACAGTATCCAGTCATTCCCAAAAAGGCCCTCAATTGTTTTAGAGTCTTATGTAGAGGAAACATCAGGATCGGACAGATTCTATCTTTTCCTAGAGCCCTCATTTCTTTCTCCAGGACAAGACCTAAATATATAACCCTAGACTGACAGACACAATTGGGCCTTTTCTTTAGAGAAACTTCTCTAAAGAAAAACTTACTAAACTTCTGCTAGGAAGTTTAGTAAGGATTCAGTGGCTTACGAGATGACAGGCTCAATCAGTCCACAGAGGAGGAGGTCATCTACATACTGTAGTAGAGTAGCTTGTAGATATTGCCACTCTGCCAAGTTTTGAGTTAGAACCAACCCAAAGAGATGGGGGTTGTCTCTGAATCTCTGGGGGAGGACAGTCCAGGTGATCTGTCCAGCCTTTCATGTGGGGTCCTCAAAGGCAAAGATAGGTTGACTTTTAGGGTGTAAGAGAATGCAAAAGAAGGTGTTCTTTAAGACCAGGACAGAGTAGTATGCAGTACCTTGGGGCATTTGGGCTAAAAGCATATGGGGATTTGGATCTATGGGAGAGGCAGTACTGCTTCACTGATAAGGCAGAGATCTTGGACTAGCCTCCATTTATTAGGTCCCTTCCTGACA